TAGAACTTTTACAGATATTTTTTCAACAATTCATCAATTTTTTAAAATTTTCAAAATATAAAATCTGGTCTTGAAGAGTTATGGAATATAATAGATGGAATGATTAAAAATAATAAATGTGTGTGTGAATTTTTGTAGAAGATGAAAATTGGAGGTGGCGGTTTTGGCGAAATTTACGAAGCTATCGATTTGCAAAATCATAATGAAAGAGTAGCGGTGAAGGTGGAATCGAGTAAAGCTGCCAAGCAAGTACTTAAGATGGAAGTTGCCGTGCTACGAAGACTTCAAGGTTCCTATCAATTAAGCTTTTTTTTTTTCTTGTTTTGCAAAACTAATGGGAAATTTGCAATAAATGGAAATCAAAAAAAAAATTTAAATTTATGATTTAATAAAGTGAGAAAATTTATGAGTGATTTATGAACCGACATTATAAGCATCATAAAAAATTATTTTCAAAAGTATTATAAAAACTTTATGAATGAAATAAATTAAACTTGTTAAGAAAGTTTGGTTTGTAACTAAATATAATAATTAAAATAAGGCTAGAAAATTTTAAAATGATATAAAATAACTGATATAATTACAATGATATTTCTTCATATTACATTGTTCAAAATTTCATAAATTTCTAATTTTACAGGAAAATGGCATGCATGCAAATTTTACGGGTGTGGACGAAATGAGAAATTTAATTATTTGGTAATGAGCTTACAAGGCAAAAATTTAGCTGATTTACGTCGTGAATCACCCAAGCAATCATTTTCATTGTCAACAGCAATTCGGATTGGATTACAAATTTTGAATGCTATCCGAGAAATACATTCTATCGGTTTTTTACATCGTGATATCAAACCTGTTCGTTTTTTTTTTCTATTTTCAAACAAAAATGACAAATATATTAGTAAAAAAAAAAAAAAAAATTTTCGAATTTTTAAATCAATATTTTTTGCAAAACTATTATAATATCTGCCTATAACTGAAGAATGATCGAATTAATCTGATCATATTGCAATTTTTCTGAAATTTAAATGAATTGATTTATTAGTTGCATGCGATTTGATTCATCTTTCATGTTTGCTAAATTGATTATTAATTAATTGAAGAAATTTTTTTTCTTTTTTAGTCAAATTTTGCAATTGGTCGAACGAATGCTACATGTAAAATGGTTTTTATGCTCGATTTTGGTCTTGCACGACAATATCTCAATGCAAAAGGTGAAATTCGAAATCCAAGAAGTGCGGCTGGTTTTCGAGGCACCGTACGATATGCTGCTATTTCAGCTCACAAAAATAGGGTATTGCTATTTTTAATAATTTAAAAAAGCAAATTCGTTTTTTGATTTTTAATTCATGAAAAAGTTTTTCAATAAAAATTTAATTGATATAAATTTTTCAAGAATTTAAGATACCTTTTAGGAAATGGGTCGACAAGATGACCTATGGTCACTATTTTATATGTTGGTCGAATTTTTGCAAGGTTCCCTACCATGGAGGAAGATTAAGGTAAAAATTACATTTCGATTCAGAAAGATTTCTTTATTTTCATTAATTTCATGAATTTTCTTTGTAACATTGATAAAGATTGGAATTAATAGTTGATTATTTTAATTAAGAATGAGGTATTTATAGGTGAAAAAACCGGTATTACATTAAGATATCATACAATGTATAAGGTGAAAGAAAATAATTGACTAATTTTATTCTCAAAAAATATTTACAACTAAAGAAATTTTCTTTCTAAACAGAAAATCAATTCTTTCTTAAAAAAAAAAGAGAATCTTTAAAATATACAATATTATTTAAAGACCTTTTTCATTTT